GCGAGGTTGCGGGCGATGCTATCGACTGAGTCGGTGCGGATGTCAGACATGTTGATGGAGGATGCGGCCATGTCGGGGGAAGAGGGGATGGAGGAAGTGGCCTGAACGGGGGTGAAAGATGCAGCAGCAGCGGTGGCGGCGGCAGCAGCGGCGGCGTCGACGGCGGCACGTTGGGAGTTCTTGGTTTGGCGGGTGGGGGGAAAATCCCTTATTTATTTATCAATAAATTGAAAAATAAAGATAATCGCCAAGATTTTTCAAAAAAATAAAATAAATAAATAAATAGAATAAATTTTGATTTAGATTAAATTTATTTTCAAGAAAACGTGAAATTTTGAAAGAAAATATTTTCGAATTACGGATAGAAAAAAAAAAAGAAAAAAAAAAAGATTCTGAAAAGAATTCGGAGGAGGAAATTTTTAAAATACTTGGCAAGAATTTTTCAAAAAGGGAAATGTCGACATTTCAGAAAAAGGATAATTAATTTCGAATAATTGAATTTAGTCAAAATTAATTGCAGGGTTTAGAATAACATTTTTTTAGAAGAAAAGTACTTCCGAATTGTAAAAAGAGTTTCGAACAGAAATTGCAAAAAAAAATTGTGAATTAAAATACTGGGAAAAAGAATTAATTAGAATTATTTTTTAATTTCCAAAAGAAATATAAAAAAAAAATAAATTAATTCTAACGTACTTTCAAAATTTTCGAAGAGAAAAACGAATGAATTGAAAGTAGTTTTGAATTTCAAAGAAATGTCGAGAAAGAAAGAAAAAAGAAAAAAAAAATCTAACGTATTTCGAGTTACGAAAAGGAAAGAGTTTGATTAATTCTAAAATGTTTTCCAAATTACAAAAATTCCGAAAAAGGATTAGGAATGTTTTCGAATTATTAAAAAGAAATGTCGAAAAAGAATTTAATTAATTCTGAAATTTTCAAAATTTTTTGAAAAAAGAATTAATTAAACTGATTTTCGAATTTCGAAGATGATATGTCGAGAGAGAATGCTTAATCCTATGTATTTCGAAAATTTCGAAAAAGAAAATACGTTTGAGAACGAAATGAGTATTTTCGAATGGACAAAAAAAAAGAGAATTTAAAATAGATTCTACAATTGAAAAAAAAAAATAAAAAAAAAATGAATTTTGATGTAAATCGAGGGCGGGACGATCCTATCTACTGTTGATTGGGTGGTAGCGTGGTAGATTGGTGATGATGCTGATGCTGCTGCTGCTGATGATGATGATAGGGCGGGAACGTGGGGGGGGGAACAGTCGCACAGGGTGGAAGACCGGACCCGAGGGTCGCGCACGGGTTGCGCGTGGGGGGGG